TATATATATATAAATGATGTAAATGATGATGCCTGATGTTTTTCTTCTTCAGGGCACGCTAAATGAGGCCTATACCCTTTTTTCGGAAGCATTTTCTGTACTTCAACAGGTTACCTAATTCCCGTATTCCATTTCCTTTGAAATTATTAACTATTTAAACTGAATGTTGTTCAATCATTGCTCAGGTTACAGGTCCAATGCATAGAGAGGTTGCCAATTGTTGTCGGTAATTGTATTCTCTTAAGTTTATCCCTCACTCATTTAGAATGATGGCTATGCCTTATTTTAAGTAGAATTGTGGTTTTCTTTAAAGCTATTTATTGTTTGCCACACATGAAAAATGCACATTTTGATATCACATTTTGATATGCATTTTCATAGCATTTTCATAAAAAAAAAAAAAGTTGAATTGGATTGATGGATAACATTTTTTTATAAAAGATTATGTTTGAAATTAAGTTTATCTTGTGAAACATTCAAATTTTATCTAATATTCATTCTCCTATGTTGCAATAAATTTGTAATGGTGTTGAGCCCTCTCATTTTTACATACTATCCATTTCTCTATTTCAGGTATCTTGCAATGGTTTTATATCATGCAGGTGACATGAAAGGAGCAATTACCCAGCAACACAAGGAGCTCATTATAAATGAACGGTGTCTTGGTCTTGATCACCCAGACACTGCTCACAGGTATTTTATCTTGTGTAATCATTCAAATTACTTTATTTAATTCTTGTATTTGAATCCATTTAATTCTTATTGTAAACATTCCTATGTTTTTTTTTACAACCTTAAGAAATGCTTGCCTTATCCTTATAATAAGTTTTCATATCCATATCTATCTTCTCAACTTTTCTTAACCCTTGATATATTATTTTATTCATTCACCCTCCATTCTAACCGTTTATACTAATCTCTTAAATTTCAGCTATGGAAACATGGCTTTATTCTACCATGGTCTTAATCAAACTCAGCTTGCTCTGAAACACATGTCCCGAACACTGCTGCTCCTCGGTCTCTCTGCGGGGCCTGACCATCCTGATGTTGCGGCAACGTTTATAAACATTGCCATGATGTACCAAGATCTTGGGAATCTTCGATATCTACAAGAAGCTTTGAAGAAGAATGAGCGGCTTCTCGGTTCAGATCATATCCAGACTGCAGTTTGTTATCATGCACTCGCCATTGCTTTCAACTGTATGGGCGCTTACAAACTTTCCATTCAGGTATGTGTCTCGCTCATTGTAACACATTTATCATCCATATTTTTATGTAGGAAGATTAACATACATACCGCTCAATTCTTTTGTATTTACATATCTAACACCTAAAATTCAACTTTTACATACATGCCACCCCATGCATGAAAAGGTTTATTTCACCTTTTAAAAGTTAAAATAATGGTATTTTTTATGTGATATGAAAGATTTGGGCGGTGTAAATGTAATAGAAAAAGTTTAGGTGTTAGATATGTAAATGCATACGAATTGGGTGGTATTTATGTAAATACCCCCTTTCTATATAACTCTAATGATATTTGTATGATTTGGCAGCATGAAAAGAAAACTTATGATATATTAGTTAAACAACTTGGGGAGGATGATTCAAGGGCACGTGATTCTGATAATTGGATAAAAACGTTCAAAATGCGTGAGGCGCAGGTATGATATGCATCTTACATTGTGATTGGTTGAGTTCGCTTTGTTGATTGAATCATCTTGTTTTTAAGTAATGAGTGTACTGTTGGGTTGTTTATGTTGAAAATAGGTTTATTTTATTTCCCATATCATAGAAAACAAAAGAAAAGAAAGGGACAAATTGCCAATTTTCTATTTCCATTGGATTTAGTTAGTGGCAGCAAATCAATTGGTAGCAGAAGCATTTGCAATGTAAAGGCAATAGAGGACTTTTGGTAATTTGCCTCCAAAAAACAAAAAAAAAAAATTTCACTTTACAAATTGGCTAAGTGCTGCTGAATAAATTTAATAAAGCACTTTTAGTAATTTGTGCAATATGTTATTGTTTTCACTCATTAGTTCCTAGAAATTCAGGCGTTATCATAAGATCAGAAAGTATTGTGATGTTCTCATGAGCTCCACGAAATAAACATTATGTTATTGCATTAGCATATTGTGTATTTTTGAATCATACTATAGTTTTATTTGGTTTTCATTTTTTTTATTTTTAATTGCAAACCACACTTAATTTTTTTTTAATGACCGTATAGAAAGGTTAAATCTTGTAGTTTTAAAATACAATGTTTTTGACCGAATTAAGTGAGACACAGGCATAAAAATAGACCATGCGCTGCTTCAGACTCCAGGAGTTATGCTTTTTTACACTTCTTTATCTTATAGTTTTGAAAAAACTACAACAAAATCATGCTAACTCTTCTTCTACTTTTGCAGGCTAACGCGCAGAAGCAGAAAGGACAGGCGGTGAATGCATCATCTGCCCAAAAAGCAATTGATATTTTGAAGGTACTTTCTCCGTACACTTCTCTGCTTGAATCTTAATTTTTTGGAAGATTTAGATACATACCACTCAATTCTGTGTATTTACATATCTAAACACCTAAACTTTAAATTTTACAAACATACCAACTTAACCTATGCATGTAAAAGATGCATTTCAATTTTTATAAGTTAAATGGTATTTTTTATGCGATATGAAAGATATGGGCGGTATAAATGTAAAAATCAGTGTTAGTTATTTAAATACATAGGAATTGGGTGTCATGTATGTAAATGCCTCTAAATATTTTTGCAATCTACTTTATGCTTAATCTGAATTGTACAGGCAAATCCCAACCTGATTCAAGCGTTCCAGGCAGCCGGGGGTGTAAACAATTTATCTATGGATAGATCCATTAATGCAGCCCTAGTTGGGGAGGGTTTCCCTCGAGGGAGAGGGGTCGACGAACGAGCAGCTCGAGCTGCAGCCGAAGTTCGCAAAAAAGCAGCAGCAAAAGGCCTTCTCGGCCGTCCAAATGGCACTCCAGTTCAAACAATTCCTTGGAACCAATTCCTTACCATCCTCAACAACTCAACTGCTTCGGAAACAGAGCCAAACTCTCAGTCAAATGAGCCCAACAAGTCAAATGGAGCCACCGAAGGCGAGAAGGCGAGTCAGACCCCTGCTGGATTGGGAACCGGGTTGGCTTCCTTAAATTCCAAGAAACAAAAGCAAAAAGCCAAATGAAGAGGCAGATTGGCCTTGAATCACACTTATTATTAGGTAATTCATACAGAATCATGAGCACACAACGGCTGTATGATCAACAAACAAATGAATTTGATGGCTGCAGCTGGGTTTCTGCGTACAAATTGGCAGTTGATTTCTGCCTTTTAGATCTTTCTATTTTGATTTATTGGTAAGGGACCGCTGGAGGTGGTTTTTTATTTTATTTTATTTTTTTGTTTATTTTATTTTGTTTTTGTTAGGATTAGGATGCAGCGTACCAGAACTGAGATGCCATTTTCTCACGCGAGATATCATTGTAAAAAATCAAAGTTATTTTTGTCTTCATAAGTAGGGCAACGTGATATTACCCCCTTTTTTTTTTTTAAATGATGAGCCTGATATAAGTTTGGTGTATGTTGAGATTTTTGTATGCTCAACTCTTTGTGCATTCTGAGACAGTTTTTAATATTGGCAGGTTAAGTTGGGTTTTCAGTTACAGATCTTTTTTATTAAGGGATATTTACATGCATGCAGTACGGTATCAATCACGAGAAAATAAAATCAGACAGAAAAGCTATCAAAATTAGATTGAGCATTTTATCATGTACTTAAAATAGATTGTATAGACTATTATTTATTGAAATGAAAGCAAAGGAAAAATATTTAGTCTATTTGCTCAAAATATTGTCATGGTATTTAGGGGTGTAAACGAACCGAACACGAACGAACAAAGCTTGTGTTCGTGTTCGATTCGTTTAAAATTTAGTTTGTTTGAAATAAGCTCGTGTTCGTTTCTTAACGAACGAGCCGAACATGAACTGAACACGAGCTGTTCGCGAACGACGAGCCAGTTTGACATCCTTAATATTAATATATAAAAATAATATTATATATTAATTATATAATTTATATTATATAAATATTCAATATCTATATTAGTATATTACTACTATAGTATATTAATATATTATTATTATTATTTTATTATATATTATAATTTATAAAATTTAATGTTTTAGAATATAATAAATTTTTTATATATAATTATTTTATATTTCAAACAATAACGATTCGAAGACGAACGAACACATCACTGTTCGTGTTTGGTTCGTTTAACTAATCGAATGAAAAAAATTTGTTCGCGTTTTTCTCGTTTACTTATCGAACGAATCGAACACGAACTCATTGACGAACCGAACACGAACTGTTCGCGAACAACGAGCTTTTTTGACAGCCCTAATGGTATTAGAGCCACGCTGAATATTTAGGGTATGAATCTTTGGAGTTTTCAAGGTTGCAATCGTTCGACTGCAAATCTTTGAGTCTCGCCAGACTGCGCGTCTGGTTCGCCTAAACCATCGTCTGCGTCACTTGGGGAGCTCGACTGCTTCGCCTCTCCGCATGTGTGCTCTGCTCGTATTGTGAAACGCTCAACTCGTCTGCTCCTCTAGAACTACTTGTCTGCTCGTCCTGTAAAAAGCTCGTCTACTTCACTCAATCTCTTCGTCAGCCTCAACTCCCTCAACCACATCTATTCTCGTCCACTTCGCCTACTTTGTCCACTTCTGCTTCAGTAGCATCTGATATATCTTCGACTTCGGTATAGTCGACGTATTTCAGCATCAATATACTTCCTAGATAATCGCATTCAAGGATTGTAGGCTTCAGCTTTGGCTTCAGACTCTCTCCTAATTTAAGATAGTGCACAATTTTTTGAATCTTTTAGGTTGATTTAGATCAACAATTTGGATTTTTTTGGATATCTTGGCTTTCTTTGTTTTTTGGTTGATTTCGATCAACGACCTTAATCAATTTGTGAATGACAACTTTATTTAGGATGTCTTTTGAAATCTTAGCTATCAAATTTACGGAAAAGAATTATGTCACATGAAATTTCAGCTCAGAATGTTCTTAAAAGGGAAGGAGCTTTGGGGTCATATTGATGGGTCTTCTCCAGCTCATACTGAGGCAAAGGATTTTGGTCAATGGGTAGCAAAGGATGCTCAGATTGTTTCCTGGTTCATTATTTCCTTGATTTTGGGATCTATTGAGGCTCATATGGTGAACAATTTACGATTCTTTGGCACGACTAAAGAAATGTGGGAATACTTGAAGCGAGTTTACAATCAAGATAATACTGCGAAACACTTTCAATTTGAACTTGATATGAGTAATTATATCCAAGGCAATCTTTCAATTGAACAATATTATTCTGGCTTTCTAAATTTATGGAGCGAATATACTGGCATTATCTATGCTAAGGTGTCAAAAGAGAACTTAGCTAGTTTTCAGGCTATTCATAAAGAAAGTCACCATGATCAGTTTTTAATGAAGCTCGGACCTGAATTTGAAACTTCTCGGGTTGGGTTGTTGAACAGAGATCCGGTTCCTTGTTTGGATATTTGTTTTGGTAAATTATCGCGCAAAGAACAAAGATTGGTGACACAAGCTGCTATTAGTACAACATGTGGATCATCAAAAACAATTAATATGACATATGCTGCTTAGACCAAAGAGAAGGGACCAGTGCAGTGCTACACCTGCAAGAATTTTGGTCATATTGCACGAAATTGTAAAAATAAGTGTATTTATTGCAAACAAAAGGAACATATTATTATAGAGTGCCCTCTACACGACCCTAGAACTGCAAATCACAAGCACTTCATGTCACAGTATCCGACACTCACAATCCTGGCTCGACATGCACAGTTGTTGGCAATAATCAATCAGTTGTCACACCAGATACGTTTCAACGAATGATTCTCTCTTTTTTTTTTTGTTCTCGACCTTCAAGGGAAATGTAAAACTATTACTTTTGTTCCTTTTTCTTGGTTTGTTGATTCGGGTGCCACAAATCGTATGACTGCCACAACTGGTTTATTGCATAACGAACAATCGTACACTGGTACTCAACATATTCATGTTGCTAATGGAAATAATATTCCAATTACAAAAATTTGTGATATTAACTCCTCTTTCAGACATGTTTTGGTTTCTCCTAAATTATCTACTAACTTACTCTCTGTTGGTCAAATTTTGGATAATAATTGTGACATACATTTTTCTCGTGATGGTTGTATTGTGCAGGATCAGGTGTCGGGGAAGGGGATAGCGAAGGGGCCTAAAGTGAGCAGGTTGTTTCCATTACAATTTACTATTCCTAGGAATATGTCATTAGCTTCTTCAGTTGTTGACAATAAAACGGGCATCTGACATAAAAGACTAGGTCTTCTAAATGATATGGTGTCAAAACATTTACTTAAAAGATGTGTTTTTATTATACATATAAGAGTTTAGTAGTTGATTGTTTTGTTTGTAATCTTGAAAAAATTAAGAAATTATCTTTTTCAATTTTTGGCAATCGTGCCAATAAATGTTTAAATGTTTTAAATAAATGTTTTAACATTATTCATAGTGATGTTTGGGGAATTGCACCAGTTCTTTCACATGCTCAATATAGATATTTTGTGACATTTATTGATGATTACAGTCGATTTATTTGGATCTATTTTTTGCAATCCAAAGCAGAAGTATTTACTGTATTTCAAAACTTTTTAGCATATATTGAAACTCAGTTCTCCGCTTGCACTAAAACCTTACAGTCTGACAATAGCGGTAAGTACATGTCTCGTGAGTTCCAAGCATTTCTCCATAACAAATGTATTGTTTCATAACGTTCATGTCCCTATACACCGTAGCAAAATGGAGTTGTTGAACTGAAAGATTGACATCTATTGGATACAGTGCGCACATTATAGATAGAATTTTATGTTCCAACTAAATTTTGGACTGAAGTTTTATCTGCTGCAGTTTATCTCATTAATCATTTACCATCTCAAGAATTGAAGTATGATTCTCCCTATTATCAATTTTTTTGGAAAACATCTTGTCATATGCTACATACTTTTGGATTTATTTGCTTTGTTCATCTACCTACTCATGAACGTCATAAGTTGACAGTTCAGTCACTATGATGTGTCTTTATGGGGTAAAGTCCTAATCAAAAAGGTTTTGTGTGTTATGATTCAATTAATAGTTGATGGCATATTTCTCGAAATATGATTTTCTTTGAACATGAATATTACTTTCGGCATCATGTGTCGACACCGGATACAGTTATACTTCCAAATTGATAATTCTTCCTCTGATAAACGGTTCAAGCCAGACATGGTCTCCACACGGCGCCTGCCCCCTTCACCTTCAAACCTCCCCGACCCTGATCCAGAAATTCCGCCAATAAGTCTTCAACAATCAACTCGACATATCCGTCCTCCAGATAGATATGGGTATTATGCAATTTTCACTAATATTATTTTTCATACCTCTTACTTTCAGGTTGTTAAACATAGTTGTTGGATCAAAGCCATGCAAGAGGAACTTCAAGCACTTCAAGACAATCACACTTGGGATATTGTTTCAAATCCTACAGGTGTTAAACTCATTGGTTGTAAATGGGTTTATTCTCTTAAGCTCCGATCTGATGGCTCTCTTGATAGATATAGGACAAGATCGGTAGCTCTTAGCAATCGACAGGAATACAAGATTAATTATGAAGAAACATTTTAAAAGATGTTCAAATAGTCCCTATACGGTTTGAAACAGGCTCCACGGGTCTGGTTTGAAAAGTTTTGCAATACTCTTATAAGCTTCTCTTTCATTCAAAGTCAGTGTGGTTCATCATTATTTCTTTGCAAGACTGACAAGGTAATTTTTTTGTTATTAGTCTATGTTGATGATAGTCATCACAGGATCTGACAATCAATTGATGTCTCAGCTACAGAAGCATCTTCAGGGTTCTTTTCATATGAAGGATTTGGGGTCATTAACTTATTTTTTAGGACTTGAGGTTCACTCTTCTCCCGCTGGTATTTTTCTTCATCAACACAACTATACTAAGGGACTCATTACTTTGGCTGGTCTTCAAGATGGTCGCTCTGCTGATACTCCTTTGGAAGTAAATGTCAAATATCAACAGAATAATGATGATTTTCTATCTGATCCATCTCTATATCGACAACTTTTTGGGAGTCTCAATTATATGACTACTACACGTCCTGATATTTCATTTCATGTGCAACAAGTTAGTCAATTTATGCAAGCACCTACACATCTTCATTTAGTTGCAGTTCGACGTATTTTTTTATATTTGAAAGGTACTTCTCATCTTGGTTTGTTCTTTTCTGTGGAGTCTCCTATCACCTTAACAGTTTATAGTAATGTCGATTCGGCTGGTCGTTCTGATACACGCCGATCTATTACTAGATGGTGCACGTTTCTTGACAACTCTTTAATCTCTTAGAAGAGCAATAAACAAGATCGAGTGTCTAACTCATCTATTGAATCAGAATATCGCATTATGTCCTTTGCTTGTTTCGAGATCATTTGGCTTCAAGGTGTGCTGGATGAGCTTGATTTTCCTCAGTTTAAGCCTACTTCTCTTCATGCAGATAATACTAGTGCTATCCAGAATGCTGCTAATCCTGTCTTTCATGAGAGCACAAAACACATTGAAGTTGATTGTCATGTTATTTGAGAAGCCTATGAGGATGGTGTTATATATTTTCCTCATATCACTTCTAATCTTCAAACGGCTGATATATTTACTTAAGGTCTGTTTGAGGCAGTTGCAGCTTCTCAGCTTTCCAGCTGCAGCTGTGCTAACCCAGGAAGCTGCTGTGGGGAAGTAGTTGCGGGGAAGCTGACTGCTTGTTTGGTGCAACTGTGTGAAAATTGCTGTCGGACAGCTGTTTATAAAAAAAAAGACTATACTGCCCCTGTTTGGTTTGGTAAAACTGTTTAAAAGAAGATTGTAACTATCATATTTTTAACTTCAGTGAGGCGCTAACAATTTTTGTCCTATGATTGTCTCCTTTTTGTCCGATGACTCTCTCTTTTTGACAAAAATAAAGGGTCTTTAATCACACAGACTATACTACCCCAAGATAAAGACAATGCAATCAATAAATGCTAAAGGAGATTTGCAACTAGGAGCAATTTTGTAAGTAATGACAACCAAAGGAAATTTGCCCCGAAAAATGACGAGGAAGCAACAAGTGCAAAAGGAGACCTGCCCCAAAGGGAGAATATATAAGTGATAAATTCCAAAGGAGATTTGCGCCAAACAGCAAATGAGAAGGTGATAAATACCAAAGGAAAATTGCCCAAAGAGCCAATTATGCCACAAGAAGTAAGCAATATTTTGGGTGAAGATTGCCTGCTTAAGTTTGCATGAGAAGTTAGAATTGAAGAAACATTCTATGGAGAAATGCTAAAGAAGTGTCAAACTTTCCTACAGCTTTAACCAAATAATTCAGCTAAGAATTTATTTAGTTAAAAAACAGTAACAAGTTAGATATTTACAGCGAACTGAACTGCAAAATATCACTTTATGAATTGAAATTAGTTTTGTTTAAAGCCTTGCAAACATCTCAAACATTTTGATAAAGAAAATCCAATGAAAATCTAATTTCCAAATGAGGAGGTAATCGCTACAGACAAATCAATGTTCCTCATTTCAAGATTTCAAGTTATTGAGCCAAAGATTTCTAATTAAGAACATGAGAACATCATTTGCCCAAAAATAAAAAATATTCAATTCCACTGCAAAGTAAATCAAAAGCAGACACCTTCAATAACTAAAATAAAAAAACCAACAAGAAAAAAATAAAAAAAACCAACAAGAAATCCTCGAGAAACCCAAAGAACAGGTCCTAAACTAAAATTCAAACACTGAAAATCAGAAAAAATGAAACCAACTTGAAAGATATACTAGAAACAAAATCCGAAGAGATACCATGGAAGGATTGATGTTCGTTCTTACTTTCTACAAAGAATCATCAGCTAGCAGAAATAGAAGGGATTCGAGGAGGCAGCTCCCATCTCATGATTTACATAACTCCTCCTGCTCCAGTCAAGTGATCATTATTTCCCTCGGGTTCTGCTCATGGGGAGTTGATCGAATTTTATTCAACAGATGAAGTACGACTTTTTGTTGATTGAAACAGGGTGTCTTGCCGCAATAGAAAGCAGCTGAACCTGCAGAGCGCAAAATGGATTGAAACAGGGCGGTAGCTGAAGGTCGGCGAACATTAGTCCCCGACACGGCGAGCTGCATGCGTGCTCAAAGCGTATTGAAGGGATAACCGACGACAACTCCAGCCATCCCTCTGAGTCCTCCGGCCATGAACTCTTTTCCCCAGCTGCTTTCTAGGAACTCCGGCCAGAAATCCATCGTCGATCCAACATTCCTTTCCAAGACGGCAAAACCCTGTGTCGACGGAAGGGGTATTATGAGCATTCTGCTGCGAACATCTCCCTCAAAAATGCAGGCTGCGGGGTTCGATCTACGGCCCACTTTCTGTCAAATTTGCGTCTCATCACGTAGAGGACGGCAAGCCAAACAGCAAAATGTCGCAGCGACAGGCCGCGATGCAGTCCGACTGTGGTTCCAAAACGTACTCTCTAAGGCTCTTTCTCGACAGCGTCATCAGTTTCTTATCGGCAAATTG